AAGATGACGTCACAGGGGTCGAAAGTCAAAATGGCGGCGCTAGATATGGAGAGAGTTTTTCTCGAATAACTTTCGAATTAGTCAAGATAGGAACAAACTAAGGGCATCATCGTGATCCTCTCGTCAATCCACATCGAATGATATATATGTTGACCTCGCAAGGTCAAGGTCAAAGGTTGACCTCAGGTCACGTGACCTCGAGGTCATCATGTATATCATTCGATGCGTCTTGACGAGCTGAACACAATGAGACCATCCACGCGTCTGTATCTTGTTCCTGTACGGAGTTATTGGCCAAAAACCTTTGGTGACCTTTGATGACGTCACATGACCTCACAGCTGCCCAACAGCAAAACAGACCTCAAGGTAGTGAAGGTTGATCGCATATGAAGTCATGTATGGTATATGGGGCCATTCCGACCCGTTTTAGTGGTAAAAACAGGGAGTTGATTTTTCCCCCATTGACTTATAATGGGGAGGTCGCGAAACTGACCTGACCTTAGGTCACCGATATCAAAATTCCGAGATATAAAAATTGCACATACTGGTACCCTAACTAAAGCCTGAAGAGAAGAAATTGATCGGTCAAAAACTCTAGCTCTGGCGTGATTGCAAACTTTTCTGTGGTAGGGTCACCAAACCGCCTCTGGTGACCTGACCTGAGGTCAGATCAACTCAAAATTTTCAGACATGTTGCGTAGAAGCCTTTTAGGAAAAGTCAGAAAATTTGAGCTTCCTAGCTCAACGCGTTTGGGAGAAATAACCAAAAAACCTCAGGGGGGCTCCTGAGCCCCCCCGCCAGGAATAGGGTTAAACCTAGAGAAATATATCGTGCTTTAACGGTGATGTGCTCTGCATATTTCAAGCTTCAAATATTTCCTCAATAGCCTTCGGATAGACGAGGTGAAAATAAAGACACCTAATTGTCCAATGACATGGCAAACGCACGTTCCTGAACGCTTATTGCGGAAACGTATGTATTCCTTCAACTGATCAACGGAACATCAGCGCCGGAATGCAAATATGTGCTGAGGCGCCTCTCTCGGACGAGTTGCCTGAATTCCATATCTTCCATCAATGATTTTATAGAAAAATAGCACCTCAGCGATCGCTACTAGCGTGTAAGAGCGCCAGGAATTTCTGATCGCAATCGGCCTCATTGCCGCCATCAGTAGGGGCACGCTCCCGGCCTTCAGCGTCCTTCTGGGTAGCGGGAGCAGGTCCCGCAGCCCTATCTGGTCCGATTGTGGCCCGCTTTGGGTGTAGGTGCGAAACCGCAGCGCACGAGCATCTGCCAGGGCCCGTGCATTTCGGCTTCCCCCTGCGATTGGTGATAACTGCTGCGGTTGAAAACATGGCTAAAAGGAGTGTCCACGAGCACATGAAAACAAGATCGATTTGTTGACCGACGGAGGTGATTTGATAGCAATGAGTGAAGGGATCGATGTTTTTTTTTGCAGAATAAGCTGAAATCCATGAACAAAATAACTTCTAGCATTTATAACGGCTGACGTGCTTAGGAAAAGGAAATATCCCAGTCTTCATGATTGCGTGTTGACTAGCATAATTGATAAGCAAGTAGTGAGCGACCCTCCAGATGGTAGTCTGCTTCTCGATACTCTTTAACCTTAGAACGCCTAGGGGGGGGGGGTTGTATCAACCCCCCCCCCTGAGGTTTTTTCGAAGTGCTCGCTAAACGGCTTGTCGTAGCGAGCTGAAATTTTCAATACCCTCTGGGGCAACCTTTGCGCATCTTTTGCCGAAAAAAAATTGATCGGGTCATGTCAGGTCACGGAGTTATGACGTCATAAGAGGTACAGCCTCCGGCCGGATTTTCACAAACTGAGTGCCAACGCCCGAGGTTTCCTGCCGGTGGTACGGACATCGGTTGATGGATCGTGATGAAACTTCCCATGCATGTTGGGGCAAGTATTGGCTATCATATGGTATAAGAAATTTGACCGGGTCGGGTCAGGTCACGGAGCTATGACGTCACAAGAGGAACAGCGTCCGGTACTATTTTTGAAAAGCGCCCGAACCACTATTTTGCTAATTCTTGTCACCTCAATGGGAATATGCAGCAATATTAGCTTCTATAGGGAGCAGATGGACCTCCCAAATCCAAAAATACAACCAGATTTCAAAAATTTAAATTTTGATTTTTCGAATTTCTGCCGCCGACTGTGACCTTGCCGACTTCCGGCGCTCCCAACGCGCCATTTTTAGAGCTAGGGAAACGAAATACATACCAAACGATAGAGAATTGATCAAGGAACACGATATTGAAGGTTTCAAGTCGATATCTCCCGCCGTTTTGCCGCAATCGCCGCCGAAAGTTGAAAAAAGTCTATTTTTCCGAAAATTTGACCTTTGACCGGTCAAAAGTAGGTCAAATGTTGACCTAGGACCAAAAAATATACCACCAATCGCGAGATCTCGTTGAGAGCAATCCGTTGGTTTTTTCCGCTAAGCTCTACGACCTTCCGTTTCGAAACGCCAGGGGGGGGGGTCGTAACAACCCCCCCCCCCTGGTCGTTCGTGTTATGAGAAATGGCCTGGTCGTGCGAGGGTTAAAATGCTATGGTGGCGACATTTCTCTTAAAAACGGCGCTTCAAATGGCATGCTTGTCGGGAAGGGGAAAGGTGTTTAGCGGTAAATATAACATCATAATCAGTTTTATATGCTTCAACTTCTCCAATTCCCACCAAAAACTATCCTGTTTTGTTATTATCCCTGATATTGAGGAAGTTATGAACTGGGCCACAATTAGCAAGGGCGATGAAAACTTCCGGGCGAATTAAAACATGCCTACGGTTTCAGCACAGCCTCTAGGGATTTATGGCTGAGAACAATTTTTTTTGCGGAAATAAGCAAACATTTTTTTAATCCCAACTCATACAGAAAAGCAATGAAGTTGTCTATGTACTCGTATATTTAAGAAGGTCATCATCTGTCGGCTGTCGACTGTCAGTCGCCGCCTGCTGCTATCGGCAGCTGCCGGCCCTTTATAAGATCGGGTCTATCTATAAACTATGGCGGGATGCTCACTGTATGGTGGGAGACCACACAAAAGCCTGCATTAGTTAGCCGTACTATTTCAATAGGTGATATTTTTACATACATTAAACGCTCTTCTGATCAATATAGTTCAGAAAATGTCCCATTTTGTCAATCAAATTACACTAGCCAGCACATTAGGTCTCATCAGAAACGCATAACGAAAAAGGAAAAAAGAAGCATTACATTATTTTGGTATCCTCAAGAGCTTCCAATGTTTTTTTTTGCAGGTCAATGTGAAAAAATGCGCTCACAACAAAAGGTTGCGTGATAAACAAGCATAATTATCCTTGAAATGTTATGCAACACAACGTCATGGCTCGGTGATAAAACCCGCAACATGTCAGCCTTGTTTGTAAGCTTACCTGGTGGCAAATTTATCGTTTGCCTGATTCTTTCTTTGATAACCGCTTTATCAGTTGTGCGGTTTATTCTCTCCTGCATTTTGCATCTGCTGCCCTTTCTTCTTTCTGATGGTTGTTCCCACGCCTGTGTGGAGCCGCCGTTGTGAGGAGCAATGAGGTAAAATACCCCAGTAAACAAACATTTCACTGTCAGAGTCCTAACGAGGCGGAAGGGAGATAGGAGCGTGTTGGCGGCAACGGCCAAAGGCGCCGCGATCACAGGAAGGTGGCTGACACAGGACCCCGGGCCGTCCCCGACCCCCGGGGTACTTACAGTTCTACCGGTCCGCCTTCGGCCTGAATCCCTCACGGCCTCACGACCCATGATGGTCGTCCCTCGGTGCCAGTCTCCGACCTGAGTCCCTGAGTGCCGTCCCTCACAGCCCAGAGTGGCCGTCCCTCAGGGCCGCGAGGGATTCAGTCAGGTCGGGGAAACACCTCCACGGGAAGGTCGCTAGGACCGTCATCGATGGGAAGGCGGCCCGCGGAAAACGGCCAGCAAAAGTGCTGCCATTTAATGTAAATATACATAGCTGTGATTCAACAGGTAAAGTAAACAAAGCATGCATGCATGCTATCATGCTCCAACGGCGTTGCTATGCAGGACATCAAAGTGCCTCAGATTGGTTGTATTCCGCACTGGTGCGCATACTGCCACCGCAGTTCGACTTCTACTTATCGACGAATGAGAGAATCAAGCACTGCCTTGGTACTGTTATTCCAACAATACAAGCTCCATCTCAGCCGAGGAAGCATGCATGACGACACGGCATCGAAAATATTCACGGGACGTCGGTGTATCGATAGCCATGCATCGCCGTTTGCATTGGTATTGACTTGGTATTATATAAGCTTGTACTTAATGGCCCGATGGGGTGATTCAGTTCGGTCATCTGTGCAGCCATATCCTTACATGCAGAAAAGACCAATATGACTACTTATGGACCATGCAGCTCACATCGAATCCTTGGCGAGACATGCTCCGGCCCGGCAAAGCTGTTGTTTTCCCAGTACAATGCGATTACGTCAGGCATACAGCTAAAAGTTTGCCAGCAACACGGACGGTATAGGATGAACAACTAAAGAAGCCGACCGACTTCTTAGCATCTCCAATACACGAGTTGGTGATCAGACGGAGTTAGCATGCTGCTGGAAAGTCGCGGTCGTTTCTGCAGGGCTGCAGCCGTCTGTCTACCCGTGGTGGATATAGGTACCAATAGAAATGATATAATTAGATATCTATGGGTATGCCTACAAGAGAAGATCATACCGCGTGGTAATCCAGTCGCCGAGGGCCCAGAGATCCGCGCGGGACTCTGACTGGCCGGTTGTTGGTGCCACCACCCCTCCCTTCTGCCCGGTACACTGTGCTCCCTTCTTCCCGAGAACCGCCGCTGTGGGAACGGCATGAGACGGTGGTGCCCGCGGTCCCACAATCGCTGCCATTGTCAGGGTGCGTCAACAGACGCCTCGCCTTGGCGACATATCGACCAGGCCGTAATCTTTCAACCCGAGAAGATAAGGAGGAGGAAGTAAATGCCGACTACGTGGTATTATGTAAGCTGAAGTTTGTCGTACACAACGATTTTTAGGGCGTCACACTTTGTTTCGATTCGGGGAAATGGCCAGTGATAGAGCACCTAAGCGTTCAGAAACAACAAAATTTTAGGTGTATTTCAAGTTCTCCAAAGACCTCCTTTCAACGACAACCCGATTCTTTTCAGATCGCTTCTGAATGACTATTTCATGTTCACTGAGCATTACGTTTTTATTGACATAATCCATTTGACTTTTGCGATCAAAATCAAGCGTTACATTCAGTGAATCACATTATGAAAAGCGGGCCGGAACAGCGAATGGTCGTAAAACGATTTGAGCAGGATTGCAACTTTATTGGGGAAAAAGTGGCATTCGGTGCTATAACTATATGCGTTGATGAATACCTGAAGTTTATGTGTATTATTTGGTCTACGTGTATGTAAATAAATAAATCACTCTCTCTCACTCTCTCTCTCGCTCTCACTCTCACTCTCACTCTCTCTGTCTCTGTCTCTGTCTCTGTCTCTGTCTCTGTCTCTGTCTCTGTCTCTGTCTCTGTCTCTGTCTCTGTCTCTGTCTCTGTCTCTGTCTCTGTCTCTGTCTCTGTCTCTGTCTCTGTCTCTCTCTCTCTCTCTCTCTCTCTCTCTCTCTCTCTCTCTCTCTCTCTCTCTCCTCTCTCTCTCTCTCTCTCTCTCTCTCTCTCTCTCTCTCTCTCTCTCTCTCTCTCTCTCTCTCTCTCTCTCTCTCTCTCTCTCTCTCTGTCGGGATTTGGTGGTAGGGTAAGGTTTCCATCATCTCAGTTGACCACTGCGCACCCAATCTCAGACCCTCAAACCAGCACATCACATCACAGGCTAGCAGCCAGCACAGGTAAATCACAGTGGCACTTGAGTTACCGGCAGCTATTGCACACTCATTGACGGTAAATCACAGCAGAGTTAACAGCTGAAGAACAGCCGGAGTTACCAGCAGCTATCACACACTCATAGACGGTAAATCACAGCAGAATTAACAGCTGGAGTTACCAGCAACTATTGCATACTGATAGACGGTAAATCACAGCGGGCGGAGTTACTGGCAGCTATCCCAAAGATCGGTCGAATCTCCGCAGCGCCAGCTCCGTCAATCGGCGGGGATGAATGACCGCTCCGGGCCCGCCGACATTTGCATGCCAAGAAGGTCGGCAATTGTAACCTGCTGACATTTGAATTTCAAGCCGTTTGATCTTACCACCACCGTAACGGGCGGCGCGCGCTGCATGCGACGCTGAATGGCACTCCCTGACCATTCATTGATGCCGATGTAGGCCATAATAAACATCCAACAAACACTTGGGTGGCCGGCTGAATAGATTGACCGATGAGGCGGCCTTGTGTCGGCCGCCGGCTGGCTCTGGCCGCCGCGGCCGACCGGAGCTCTTTGATTGGACGATAGAATCACTCGGTGACGTCATTTGGGCCCTATCGGAGCTGCTGCGCTGTCAGCGGGCGGCACGCGCGCTGTCACCGTCTGACCGATACGGATCGGCCCACCGGGAGTGGATCGCACCCCTGAGATCAGTCGATACACACCCACAGGCAGAGGGAAACCATTTGGCCAGAATCGTGCAGTGGCATGGAGCCAATAACTTTATCAGAACGGCGGCGGAGGTCGCGAGAAAAGGCAATGTGATGATGGTGGGTGCATGTGTGCGGCGCGTGTTATGACAGCTTCTGACGTCCCGGAGATGAAGTGAACGAAATGTTGAGTCTTCCGTTCCATTTCCATTAAAACAAGCTGTTGCATAATCAAACTAACAACTTTAACGGAACACGTCGTTCACCTTAGGCGTAGCGTCATGTGCGCCATTTTCTGCAATGTGGCATCCGTCTGACAGCCCTACCAGACTTGCAGTCTGACCTTTCTAACCCTCTGACCGCAGAGTGACCATGCTGGCCGGTCTGAGCATGCGGCGCTGGGGCGCGATTCGTCTGACACTGCTGACCCGTCTGACCCTTCTGATCCGTCTGACCCTACTGACCCTACTGACCTGTCTAACCCGTCTGTCCGCAGAGTGACCATGCTGGCCGGTCTGAGCATGCGGCGCTGGGGCGCGGCCCTGCTGCTGGTGAGCTGTGCGGCCAGCTCGGACCTGCTCCAGCGCCTGTCGCGCGCCCACTTCGACTTCACGCTGGGCATGTACACGACGCTGGTCAACGTCACCGACGACCGGCAGCAGAACCTGCTCGTCTCGCCCTACTCTGTCTTCTCGCTGCTCTCGATGCTGTTCCTGGGCGCCGGCTCTGAGTCGCTGTCGTCTGCCCAACTGCGCGCCGTCCTGCGCTTCCACAACATCAGCTACGCCAGCGTGCAGAAGGCCTTCAAGGAGGTGACTCAGGTACTGGACCAGCCCTACTACTGGCGCCACTTCCGCGAGCGCTCGCTGCTGCAGCTCTCCAGCCAGGTGGCGCCTGACAGTATCTACGTGCGCGCGCTGGCCGAATACTACGGCTGCATGAACCAGACGTACCCGGCGCCGGCAGACGATGCCGCAGAGTTCTTCGGCTGCGCGGTCAACAACCAGAGCGAGCTGGCTGAACCGGCGGCCTTCGAGCGGCTGGCGGCCTGGCTGCGCGCCGGCAGCAGCGGCGACCAGTCCGAACTGGAGGGAGCCGTGCGCAGCGCGCTGGCCGACCGGCCCGTGCTGCTGCTGCTCTCCAGGGTGCGCTTCCACGGCCGGTGGCTGCATCCGTTCGATCCGGCGCGCACCTTCAGCAAAGGCCTGTTCTTCTCCGAGCCAACGCAAAGGTGAGGTAAGAACCATCACCTGACCAGACGGCCTGGTCGGAGTAGGGGACCCGGAGGGGGCTGGTGTGTTGCCTGACCCGTGCGCCTGCTCGGAGGAGCAGGGCCCTATGAGGCGGTGGGATGGGGCAGTGTTACTTGACGAACGGTCATCCAGTGCAGAGTCTTTTTATATTTGTAAACTTAGCTTAGCTCTGCCATCTAAACTAGTCAGTCTGGCAGCTTGTCATCCCCATCCGTCGCTATATTCTCTTTTTCCTCTCTCTCTCTCTCTCTCTCTCTCTCTCTCTCTCTCTCTCTCTCTCTCTCTCTCTCTCTCTCTCTCTCTCTCTCTCTCTCTCTCTCTCTCTCTCTCTCTCTCTCTCTCTCTCTCTCTCCTTCCTTCCCCTACTTCCCTCCATTCCTCTTTCTCTTTCCCCGCTTTTTCCAGCTGTCTCCGTCTCTACCAGTCGCCTCCGTCTATCCGCATCTCTCCGTTAGTCTCTGTCTCCGTCTTCCCCCGTTCGTCTCCACTTTCGCCCTCCTCCGCCCGCTCTCGTTCCTCTCCGTCCATCTCCGTCCTCTCGGTCCATTTTCGTCTACCTCTGTCCTCCCAGCTCGCCCCCGTCCGTTTCCGTCCCTCTGTCCTCCTCCGTTCGGCCTCTTCTCTCGATTCGCCCCCGTTCGTCCGTCTCTCGGCTCCTCTCAGTCCGCCTCCGTCTTTCTGTTTGCCTCCGTTCATACCAGTCTCTCCGTTCGCCCCCGTTTATCTCGGTCCTCTCCGTCCACGTCTCCTGGTTCGCCCCGTTTATCTCCGTCTCTTGGTCCGCCGCCGTCCATCTCCGTCTGTCTCCGTCTCTCGGTTCACTCGTCTATCTCCGTTCTCCGTTTGTCACTGTCTTTCTCTGTCCCTCGGTTTGCCCCTGTCCGTCTCCATCTCTCTGTCCGCCTCCTTCGTCCCCCTCTCTAGGTTCATCTCGGTCCTCTCCGTCCGCCCCGACTGTCCCCATCTTCCAGTTCGCCTCCATCTATCTCCGTCCTCTCTGTCCACCCCTGTTGTCTCCGTTTCCCGGTTCGCCCCCGTCTATCTCCGTCTCTCGGATCGCCCCGTCTATCTCGGTCCTGTTGGTCCGCCCCCGTCCCCCAGTTCGCCCCCGTTCGTCTGTTTTTTTTTCCGGTCCACCCCTGTTGTCTCCGTCTCCTGGTTCGCCCCCGTCTATCTCCGTCCTCTCTGTCCACCCCTGTTGTCTCCGTTTCCCGGTTCGCCCCCGTCTATCTCGGTCCTCTCGGTTCGCCTACGTTTATCTCCGTTCCCTCAGTCCACCCCTGTCGCCCCGTCTCTCAGATCGCCCCCATCCGTCTCTCTGTCCTCTCGGTTCGCCTCCATCGGTCTCTCGGTCCTCTCGTCCACCCCTGTCGTCTCCGTCTCCCAGTCCACCCCCTGTCTATCTTCGTCTCTCGGTTCGCCACCGTCGGTCTCTCGGTCCTCTCGTCCACCCCTGTTGTCTCCGTCTCTCAGATCGCCCCCGTTCATCTCTCTGTCCTCTCCGAAACCCGTCTCTCTGTTCGCCCCCGTTCGTCTCTGTCCTCTCGGTCCGGCCCCGTCCGTCAGTGACCGGGAGGAGACAGCTGGCCGGGGATGGGTAGCGGACGACTGACCGGACCGGGACGACTCCTTGTTTGGACGGCCCGGGACGGCCGCGCGGGCGGCCCGGGGGCGGCTCTGATGTCACCTGGCTCTGACACGACCATCACTCGACGGCGCCGCTCCTGGCTATCGGCGACAAAAGCTGCCGACCGGGGGTGGCCGCCCACCCTGGCCGCTGGCCGCCGCTCCATGATTGGTGACCAGTCGGCCGGCGGTCAGCGCCCCCCCCCCGCCCCGCTGATCTCCGGGGGGGGGGGCGTCAGACGACACCGACCTTGTCTGTGAGGACGACAAACGGCCGGCGGTGAGCGGATGTGCCACGGAACGATAGCGCATTAAATTAAAAGCTTCTCCAGTAGCGTACTCTAAGACGTAGGTGATTTCTTGGGCCGTGTTAGCCTAGGATCATGTAAAATTAGGTGCGGTAGGCTAAAAAAGGCACAGTTCCGTAACCAGCGGTCCACAGGTGGCGATAACGCCGAGCCAGTGGGCGAGTCGGCTCCTTTTGATGTCTGAATGGGGAAGGAAGGGAGACGGGAGAAAATACAGGCTCATGGGATGGAAAAACCCAAACAGGTATGATGATGTCAACACGTCATCGGTTCTTGGAGATGGAAGCATCGCACTCTTTTATTCTTTTTTTTTTCAGTTGGATCAGCCATTTGGGCCCAATATAAGAGGCCTTTCCATAGCAGCGTGAGAGCACCGTCGCATATAATGATGAAACAAGTAATGGTTTAATCCCATGGAAGGTGATACGTTGAGGACAAAGCGTAATTTATGGTCAAACCGACTACCGATTTCTTAACGCTAAAAAAAACTTCGAAACTGATAAGTTCCAATAAGAGCTGGCATGTTACGCTTTGCAATGTTCTTGGAGGTAAACTAGAAATTAACGAGTGTTTTTGTTTTTACTAACATCAATTCAATGTAAAGAAGAGTAAGTACAGTGATTAGTGCTTTACTTAACATTATTTGGTAATCACATACAGACACCGCGACTAACAATTCGTTTAGGGAAGGATCTGAATCTAACAATCTCGCTGCTTAGAGTTCGCTTCAGCTTACCTGGTAGCTGTGAGTCCGGTAACCCTTGATGTCGTAGTGAGGAAGCTGTCTTAGATCAATTTTACACTTGGCGAACAAGAAAGACATAAGCGCGGGCCGCAGCGTGTAAACACACAGCGCAGATAGGTAGAGCTCCGGTCACCGGGGATGCTGGCTTCGCGTCATGTAATAAGGACTAGGACGACGGTGCCGCGGGAACATCCTTTACGAGACTTTAGCGTGGCTCGGTTCTCAGACGCGAGCCAGTTGTGTTGGTTCGTTCTTGACAGTGGTCAGAAGGAGCTTTTCGCAAGAAAACTAAATTACCTAAAACCAAGGGGCGCGGTGCGTAGGATATAGACTTATAGAACATGGAAAAACAGGTTGGTAGCCTGTTGATATCAGGGTTGCCATATGCAGCAATAGCGATATAATATTGAATAGAATAATGAACACTATACCGCGTATACATTAGGGTGTATCGTCGAATTTTGATTTTTTTTAATCGTCTTCACTACTAAATTTTATTGGTCCCTGGCATGTTCGAAGCCGCAGGATACCAATCAAAAAAATCTGGGACGAAAACCTAGCCTGCTGCGAGCGGTTGAACGGAAGCCTGTCGGGACGGCGCCAGGCGTTGAAGTCTCCCCGTTAGTTACGCGCACACTAGCACCACGCGGCGGCTGGCGCCGTGCCGCCGCGTTCCCGGTCAGCCGTGTTTTAGCGTTCACTGACGGGTCGAAGTGATTATTCTAAGCTTTCCTAAGAAGCTTTCTGCCCCGCAGCTCATTATTGAGCAAGAATATCGCACAAACTGCATAGAACATTGACATGCAGGTTGTCGGCACATATGGAGAAGGGGATGTTTTGGTTAATTCCCCCTTAAATAGGAAGAGATTGTGGAAGAACAACACATTTCTCTTGGAAATTACTCATCCTCCTTCTTCCTACGTGCCTGCTTTAGTAATCGAAGTACCCCTATTGACTCTACGTTCTTGATTCAGCTGTCGATTTTATGCATGGAATTCCGCTATATTATATTTTCTCGCTCAATGTCCCCTGAGCTATATTGAGGCGTCACGGGACAGCAATGCTCAGCACACAACTGCAGAGAAAAAGTCAATGTGGTCATGCGTTTTGTATGCCAAAATGTGTGAGCCTTGGCGTGTACCAGCAGCCGTTGTCACCATTGTAATTTTCACGACTTTATCTTTATAAGGATGCAATTGCCCACTTCCCAGTTCCCAGACTGGGTTTGGAGATATAGTTTTACAGAAACATTTAGGAATGTCTGTAATGTAAGTTAAAAGCTAATACCGAAAGGAATCCACATATTTTCGAATTTCCTGTTTGCTGTATTGCTTAGTAAATGCCAGACGTCATGATGGCATGGCTGCGATTGATGGTATGCCGGATGGCCAGGGTACGAACTCACGGTAAGTCAGCTTGGCCGGCAGGCATCAACAGGCACAATAGTCTTACACTGATATCGTCACCCTCAGTTATTCGTCACCATTCAGCAGCAGGCCCACAGCTTCGGGCTTTGAACCGTAAGGTACAGGTGTAGGAGCAAGACATTGCGCCGATTCGAAGGGCTGGAAGGGCAGCATCGCGGGGGCTGGAATGCGCCTGAGCGGCTGAGACCATCCCATTGGGACGGGGGTGTTCTGGGTGCACTCAGCCGCTCATGCTGGGAAATGCATCCAATGGAGCTCTACCCCATCCCCACCCGTTTTGAATGATTAGGCTGACCTTTAGTCTAGAACAAAGAAGGATAATGGTTGGCTGGTCCCGAGGATAGAAAGGACAGGTAATGACATCATATAATGAATCGAAGACGGCCCCGGCCCGATCCTCTGATAGAGGCTCATCAACACGTATCTCGTTGTGGACCATTTCATTTTCCTCCACCGTGGTTTTTGCACCGACCTCAACGGGTTGGAAGATTACGATGTTCAGAAACCATTAAGGTCGTAATTGTATATTCGTTGAGTTAGGTCAGCCTTTCCATTCCATGAAGACTACTTTATAATTATTTGATGATAGGATGAGGTTTTTACCGTGTTGAACCTGTCCTACCTGCTCAGTGAACGAATATACAACGAATATACAATTACGATTTTAATGGTTTCTGAACATCGTTACCTTCCAACCGGTTCAGGTCGGTGCAAAAACTACGGTGAAGGAAAACGAAATGGTCCACAACGAGATACGTGTTGATGAACCTCTATCAGAGGATCGGACCGGGGCCGTCTTCGATTCATTATATGATGTCATTACCTGTCCTTTGTATCTATCCTCGGGACCAGCCAACAGTCATCCTTCCTTG